GGTCGCCTGGACATTTTTCCTCTTTGTGTTGTAGTGTCATCGTAGTCCCAGACCAAACCATGTACGGGTTCATACAGATCCATCAAATTACAGACCCATATCTCTAACCAGCTGTGTCTGTAAAACCATGGAACGAATGGTAAATAATAGATTAACTTGGTATCTGGAAACTAATAACATAATTACAAGCATACAATGTGGTTTCCGCAAAAAATAGAAGTACTATTGATCATCTAGTACGATAAGATTTCTTTGATCTGGAGAAAGCATATGATACATTTTACAGGATTTACAGGATTTTGGTTTGAGGGGTCGTTTACCTCATTTTATACCACAATTTTTAACAACCCTGTCTGATCATTATTAGGAGGGTCAGGGTGTCCCACAAGGCAGTATTTTGTCTGTCACTTTATTTAGTATAAAATATGTATAACACACTTGTTCTGAATATTGTTACGAGAGTGCGTTATTTGTAATTTGTAATATCACATTGATTAAGTGATAATTATTATGGGTCACAATGTTTAAAGTTTTGAGCGTGGGTTTTGGCTCGCATCTCGCATCATATATGTTCAATGGCAATAGTATTTGTAGCGGCATGCCATTTTGTTAGCGCCTCAGAGTTGCCTCCCTTGGCAACTTGTTGACTCGTCATGCAGTGGAGTTTTCCACCGATTTCAATAACGTTCTGAGAGAATGGTGATGGAGCCAAGCTTTGCTAGAATGCTCGAGAACCGTGTAAGAGCTATATAAAGGCTGGTTGTTGAGTTGTGCGACGGGGCTTTTCACATGACTGGATTTATACACATCTGTCTGCCATCGTCAAGTTGTTCAACATTTCAAGATCCACCGTGCTTGTCTATTCAACTGCTGTCATTATAAACAACCTTCAATCAGTATAACTGTTCTCACTGTAAATGTCAAGACTCTGGTGAGTTAATGTTTTATATTTGTGACCCAACATTTTAGATTTGTGACTCAACTGCATTGTACTAGATACCTGTATTGTCATTCATTGTAGCTTGCTCATTGTTTGCTCAATATATTATTGAATATATTAGACTTGTCTACGTTCTATTTTGCTGGTTCAAAGGGGACTTTTAAACCTTTTGTCACGGCAAATTATTAACCGTAATAAAATCTTTCTGAGATAATTTTGGTTATTTGAAACAGGTGTTGTTTAACCAGTTGAAGGTTATCCAACGAGTGCTGTGTAACCAAACTAGGTCATTCAACGATAGTGACGTCATAATGCCGAACTTCCTGTTGCCACCTCGATATTTTAAATTAACATTATAACTCCATCCAAGCAGTTGTTTACCAACCAAACAAAACATTAGGTTTGTGGATAATTCAGTTTCAATTTCGGTGTCCTGGGGATAAGTATTCTTTTTTCAATTGAATATCTTTAATTGTTTATTTTCATCTATAAAGAAGTCGTGACAGAGTTATCTCCCTTTCGTTGTGTTTACATCTGGCATGTCTGCTTGATTTGTCATCATGGATCACACTGTTTTCCCGCCCTGTGTGTAATAAATAGATTACAAAACTCGTGGAAATGTTTAAATATACCTCGTTGGAATATTTTCCTTATTCAACACCCACTCGTTTTGTGATCTCTATATATTATTTGAAAGGTTTTAAGTGTTTCATCCGATGCCGGATTTTTAATATTTCTTGTCGTGGTAAAAATATGCGAACAATAGAGAGACAGTTACAAATCTGCCTCAACACAATTCATAGATGGCGCCTTGAAATGGATTTAATTTTTCTAAATTAAAAAACAATTGTATACATTTTTCAGAAAATACAAAGGCCCTAAACTTCTTTAAATGGCACACCCATCAAGGTTGTAAAGGAAGCCAAGTTCTCGGGTCTTATTTCTGACTCGCATTTAACTTCCATACCACATATAAAATGCTTTAAAGCTTAATGCCTAAAGGCACTTGATTTGTATCATTTCTAGCTCCAAGTGGGGACGGGAGCAGAGAAATCGTCTACATTTATACAGGTCACTGATCCGCTCAAAACTTGGTTTCGACTCCATGTGTATAGTGGAGCATGTAATTTACAAAACTAGATACTATCCATCACAAGCTCTGGGGCGTTGCCTTGGAGCGTTGAGAACGTCTCCTAATCATAGCTGTATGTTGAGGCAGATGAAGCTTCTGAAATTGTCATTACAATACATTACAAAATTATATTCTAATAAATGAAATACGACTTTTGACTGCGTATTTAACCCTCTGTACGAAACAATTTACAATAAGAAATCGTCTCTCATTCTATCACTTGGAATTCGAATCAAATCTCATATACATTCTGCTAATATTAGCCTGCTACATATATACTCAAAGGCAAAGGTTATTGTGATTGACTTGAAGTTAGATATGTGAAGCAACAACTGATACTTTTATGATGAGACTTTTGAAATATTGCAAGAAAATCATTCCACAATAGGATTGCAAATGGCATATCTTAAACTTTTCTGTCGGACATATGCTAATGGGGTGAGAGAATTTTCAAAATGAATACACACAGTCACTAACGTGTATGTCCATCATGAGCATTCATGCATGCTTGATACCTGCGCCTCATATACAGTGGACTCTGTATAATCCGACCTTTGAATTATCCGACAATCTGTGAATTCCTGCATATTTTGGGGGTCCCGGTAGCGTTCTTCTGTATTATCATCATTTAAACATTGAATTATCCGACATCTGTACACTCCGAATTCCCACACTATTTTCTGGTCCCAATGACACTATTACTCTGTACAATCCGATATCCTTTCCCCATATTGGACAAAATAGCCAATCAACCTGTCAATGGCCAGATGACAACTAACATCCTGTTACTGGTAATCTCATTGGTCCCAGAACTTGCTAATTGCGAGCTAATTAGCAGTGTGAGAACGCCTGTACCTTTGTTTATACAAGCTGAGTGGAGTGGCCTAGGTATGTTTTGTGAGGGACCTAGGTGAATATCATTTGTCAAGCATGGAGAGGATGAATGGGCTTTCTCATGAAAGTTGTGAATATCCGAGGCTTGCCGAGGATAGTATTACATGTATGTATATTGTACTGTGAGATAATAAATACAATGATATATAGTTGTACATGTAAGCATTGCAGATTTGTTATTCCTCCCTTTATTTACCAAGAAAATGGCTATTAAAAGCATTAATTTCATGATATAATGTATGGTACTGTTTGAAAAGTATTCAAGTAAGGAGACATTGAATTATCCGACACTCTGTATTATCCGACATTTTTTCCCAGTCCCAGTGAGTGTCGGATTATACAGAGTCCACTGTATTTAGAGCCAATCAAATGTCGCAAGAAGTCTTGAGGATGGCATGGAAGTCTGTGGAAGCACCTTGCTTAGTTCCTAAAGCGCGACTGGGGGATTTGGCCAACGTCTCAATCTCCTCTCCTTTTCGTCCCAGACATGTTCGATACGGGACAGATCTTGGGATGTAGAGGACCAGGGAAGGACGTTAACATTGTGCTGCGCCAAGAACTGCTGAACCACCCTAGCGAGATGAGGTCTGGCGTTGCCCTGCTGGGAGATCAATCTGCTGGAGAAACGGTATGACTCTGTCTCTGTACCTGAGACCCGTTAAATGTCCATAGATGACAAGCACAGATGTACGTCTAGCACTCGTTATCCAACCCCAAACCAACATTCCACCGCCGCCAAAACGGTCGGCCTCAAGGACATAGTTCGTAACATAACGCTCACCACATCTCCGGTAAACTTGGGTTCGGCCATGTCTCCATTTGCGTGCTCTCCGCCGCAGATGTTGTCTGCACCACTGCAGTCGTAGACGTGGGTGACGTAATGTGAAAATTTGTCGTCTGGCAGAACGTCTAGCACGTATCCGGTGTGCAGCCAGACGCCGGCGAATGGTCCTTGGCGATATCCTGTTGACACCAAGAACTGTTCGAGCTGTCAGTGTGGCTGGTTGGAATCTTTGGCGCATATGTGTGGTTCGAATCCAATGATCGTTGTGTGGCGTGATTACAGGTGGACGGTCACTTCGGGGGCGGTCTGCAACGACGGCGTTTTGTTGATAACGTCTCCACAAACGGCATATGGTGTTCCTGTGCACGTGAAACTGCTGTGCAACGTTGCGCTGGGATGTTCCGGTTTCAAGCATTCCAATGGCCTGGCATATTTCATTTTCAGTAAGCCGTGGCATAGAGAAATCATTTCAATGCAAGCAGATTCTTCCAAATTTGTGGTTTTCGGACACGTCGACGTCTAAACAATGAATTGGATGATAATGATTGTCAATGTAATCATGTAATGATTGGAAGTTTAGAGCCACATTTTAGAAGGGCACGTTTTATGCCTTTTTTACACAGACTTCCTGAAAGCACGAAAAAAGCATGCAAAACAAAAACTACCGTCAGGGCTCCGTTCCGGTTATGGATTAAGTGTATTATAAAGAATATTAACATCCAGTATACTAGCTTTTCTCAATGTTGATCACACTAACTTTTGAGTATAGCTCCCATCCAACCTTTATCATCACATCCTTGGTGAATGGTGAAACCAGAGATGGACCTGACACTACCAATACTTAAGAAATCAGAAACGAACGAACTAATGTATAAACACAAATATAATCAACTAATCAACACATAAGCACTTTACAAGCCTATATTTACTATTTCTTGGTCAGGACTGGATATCACAGTCGGAAGGCATGGTTTACTGGTAATGATATCATTCACTGGATTGACTGCTCCATCGATCGCCTCTACATAGTAGGGATATTTTGAGAACAGCGTTAAATAACAAAGGTGTGTAGGAAGACATCACTGTGCAATAATGGTCAGATGCTATGAATATCAGGATCTGAATCCGGGTCATTATGCATGTAAAATGTTTTGTGACACACCTTGACGCCATGCGAAAACATAAGGATGATGAACAATGTTTGTTTATATCTGAATTTATTACAACAAAACAAAACAATATACACTGTAGCAGCTGTGATATCACAAAACTGTGATGTGAATGCGATATATCTTTGGGGAAAGGTACCTCTTATGTTTCAGGGGGCACTGTTAAGGTTGTACATTAGGAGTTATCCCCGGAATAGCCAGGACTGCGTCCTATGACCGAGTTAGGCATCGGTGGATAGAACTTGTAAGTGGCTGTAAAAGAAATAAGACTCCAATTACAAAAATGTCGTTTCCTGTCTACTTTAAACATCTTTAGTGCCCAGTCACAGCACTTCCTTCCCTGCTATTTTCTGGTTCAGGTTCGATTGCTTATAGGTCGTCTTAAGGGGCGGTTGGGTAGCCTAGTGGTTAATGCGTCCGCTCGTCACGCTGAAGACCTGGGTTCGAATTCCCACATGGGTACAATGTGTGAAGCCCATTTCAGGTGTCCCCCGCCGTGATGTTGCTGGAATATTGCTAAAAGCGGCGTAAAACTAAACTCAGTCAGTCAGTTATAGGTCGTCTTCACATAACTGGAACAGCGTAAAGCAATGAACAAATATACCCCTTACTGTCTGTACTTCACACTCAACCTAGACACCAACACTATCTATGTCTACACAGTTTGAAAGGACTACGATATTCACAAAGATATTAGCGTCCATACAGTTTGACAAGACCACGACAGTCTCAGCGATACGTATGCCATTTACGTCCACACGTGTCGGGCTTCCACTGTCCATTGCCGGCGCAGTTCTTCAGCATGGGTCATAGGATGGATTCTTGCCAGACAGATTAAGACTCGGCCTTTACTGGCATGCAGTTTGACAAGACCACGATTTGCTCAACGATATGTATGTAATGAAGTATAACACCCACCATGCCAACAGGGAAACCCCCGTCCTCAGTATCCCCGTTCACAATTTAGAAGACTGCGGTACCCGTAACGACGGTAACCGTTTGACAAGACTTAGACAAAAAAACCCCACCTCACCCCCCAATGATACTAAGCCCCTACCAGCTCATGACCGATACAGAGCTTGCCTTAAAAATGCCCCCTCATCCCCGTCAATAATAAATCTAACACCCAAATTACAAGAATCGGCAATTAGTACTCACGATTGCACAGCCTGACAAGGCTTGAAGGATAGACACATCGCTTAGCCCGCAGACTTAAGACCTGATGTCGAGGACACGTCTCTTGACGGGGAATGTAGAAACGACAGCGGATGTATGTAGCAAGATTGTTCGATTCTCTGCTGATGATCTGAAACGGTGTTGAGCAATTGACGCTGGCTACGGGGCCAACTTCATTAAAGATGGCCCCGACCAAAGGCATGGCGGAGACGACGACAACCACCCAAAGAAACTGCATCTTGACTGGCGGAGGGCGCAGAATTCTTTGTTCAAGTAGCGGGTCTGACTACTGCCTTTTGTCATACTTTGTTATCTTTTACGACATGGCTTGTTAGGTTTATATAATGATAACAATGCAGTGTAGATTACATGTATCTAATCGGATGGATAAATGATAATATGTAAAAATCTACCGTAAGCTACTTTCACTCAGGGCTTATTGGGTTTCAACATTCCAGTATATTTCAGATTTTTAATAAAAATGAAATGTTTGCTGTGTAAAACTGAAGGATAAATTATGTGTATTACTCTGTGTCATGTTACTGCCGTGGGCCAATAGTTATGTAGAAATAGTTTCAGGTAGATTAGCTTGTATGAATGTTATATGTATTAGCTTCGGGAAAACAAAGTTGAGGTGAGAGTAATTGCTGTTTTACAGTTTTGACCCACTGTTTTATAAAGCCATGCACCAGTTAAACATGGACACCCTACTCAATACACAATATAGACTAAAGACCACAAAATCTTTGTTTTATCCTTTTCGTGTCAACCGCCGGGCAGGGTAGGATGTCCCTTGAAATAATACATTTACGTTTGACGTATGGATAGAACCACCGACATTCCTCTCTCAAAGCACACACTACACTACATAGCGTCCCGATCTCAATTCACTCAACTCTCAATTAACGGTATCGATTCTTCTGACTTATCTTATGTTATCTGATGTTATCGTTGTCTTACAATTGTATCTGGGCAACAACAATCAAATATTTCCTACTGGCACGATTTATCTGTCGCTAGTAAAATACTTTGGAATATGTTAGAGTTAGACTACAATATGGATTTCATTATGGTACCCCAGTCTCTTCACTTAGTATGCGGACAACCGAGGCAAGAAAATATAATCTTGCTCAACTCCAATTCAGACTACTCGCAGCTAATAATGTTCATTAAGAAAGTAAAGCTGTGTCACAGGAATGTGAGATAGTGGCAAAATATTTGTCAGTGAAATTACATTTGTCGGGGAAAGTAATTATTGCGTCTAATGGTTAAAACAAGGACTATGTACACTACCTAAAAAGAAACGCATATGTGTATTGTCAGAGGAGATTAGCCATGTGCTAAAATAACACCCAAACTTAAAAGTGTACCGCTTGTCGACGTCCTGAGCTTTATAAAACAAATCCAAAAGTCGACTTCCTGAGCCAACACCGTATTTTTACGAATTTAAAGTATACCACTGGAATAAAGTAACTAATTAGTATGCATTATTTAATATTCTGCCATTTTAATGCAAAAAGATAATAACATGATTTGTGGTGTGTTCTTTAAACACTGTTTAACTGCTGACAGGATAATATCGAAATATGTATGATTTCCCACTAGGCATCGTGATACGCCCTTGAAGAGATATTGTCAAAAGTCAGTTCACAAATTCAGTATTTGGCGCCACCATTGGCGCTGATATAGGCTTGACAACGACGACGCATAGACGGCATTAAGCGATTGAAAAAGTTTGGGGAATGTTGTTCCATGTCTGAACAAACGCTTGTCCCAATTCAGCTAACGTCAATGGTTGATTCTGGGCTTGACGTAAACGTCTCTCCATTTCATCCCAAACGTGCTCGATAGGGGGCAGGTCCGGAGAAACAGCTGGCCAGGGGAGCACGGGATGTTCTGCAGTCGCAGAAAATCTGTCATAACACGAGCGGCATGTGAACGGGCATTATCTTGATGAAGTTATGTGTCTGTCCTTAATTGAATGGATGCACATGAGGCCCAATGATATTACCCCTGTATCGCAGACCTGCCGGATTGACAATGACAAGTTGTATTCGAGATATGAGATGTGATGCCCCCCACATACCGTAACGCCCTCGTCACCAATCGGTCGAGGTTCACCTCGCCGTCTGTACACCCTTTTTACCTGCCATCTGAGCTGTCCAGATGAAATTTCGACTCGTCAGTGAACCATCCCAATCTTGTCTTCCGTACCATAGATGTTACCTGGAGGCCGACTTTGCGTAGAATCGGTTTGTTGATATCGGCCCCATAAACGACTGATGGTACTCTGGTAAACATTGAGGGGACGGGCAACAACAGATTGAGACTCCCAGCCTCCAGACAATGTTTCGATTTACAGCAGTGAGTCGCGGCATAACGATATTCTTTCATTTAGCTAAAAAAATGCCACTGAACGTCTAAAAGCAAAACGGCATTATATAGGCAATGTCCCTGGTCACGATTTCTCAGAACTGCACGTGTATATTGCGAACCACTTTTTCTCCATGACGTACATTATAGTTTCCGAAGATGCATATTTGCGCTGTGCATTCATTCCATGTACACAAACCAGGATTATAAGGGCGAAATCATAACAATCAAACACTAATTTTGAAAAATATTGGAAATTTGATACATCAATATCGCATATGCTTTTCCTTTTGTGGGAGTATACTATCCAAAAATGTGGACTGAAGCGTTCGAAATCATTCCGCTAAACTCTTTTAACGAGGAATACGACAAAACGCCGCACGATTCCACCTGTATGGCGGCAGTCTAACTAATCGAGTTTGGTCCAGACAATCCAGTGATCAACAGAATAAGCATCGATTCACGCAATTGGGATACGATCACATGTGTCAAGTAAGTCTGACCACCCCATCCATCAGTCGCCTCTTGCGACAAGAAGCTACTGGAGAGTCAGACATAAGAGGATCATGATCCAAATGTTCCTTCGCTATGAAAGCATCGTTGTCGTGTATAGCCATCATGCAATGTGTTCTCTTGAGCTACTGCTGAGACTTGAAGACGTCAGAGGAATTTGGTTTGCGTCAGAATTGACGCGTGGGTGCCTATATATGCTTGGTGTCTGAGAAACAACTCCTAGAACAGCAGTGTTCCATTAATGTGACATCATTCAACTGGTCACACTGACCCGGTGACGTCATTCGTGATGGACAGACACTGTTGTTGATTGTTCCACTAAGATCATATTCTTCATAAATATTATTTTTGTGAGCTCTTGAAGCTCAAGCATAGCAACGAAGTGTGCGACTCGCTTTTTGAAAGTTGTTTAAATGTGCAATGACACACTCTTGACATGAAGTGAGTGTGCAATTGTCAAGAGCTTCTCCGCACTCCGTCACTAGAGATACCAACTACACTCTCTAAAGGCCTGGCAACAGGAGCCCTTCACTGAAAGACTGCATGAAGTAGACAAAGATATCAATCATAAGGAATATGAGATTCTGAAACTCGAAATGTAAGTCAATTATGGTAAATGCGGAAATCTAACGGTCTCGTTGTCGCGGAAACGATAAAGGTCATGCGGTATAATAATTAAGGTCTGCATTAAGAGTATTATATTTTTAGTATGGAAATCAATATCCTTTGTTGATATCTTAATTTAACCTTCATTATTATTTCAGTGCATTACTAACAAACGGATACAAGGTTGGAAAACCAGGTTTGTCCCACAAGCTCTAACCAGCAGCAACGTTTTAGTGAATACTTCACATCTGAACAACGAGTCTCGGTCACAGCCTCAAATTTTGCTGAAAATTCATCTAATTATGGAAAGGGATTTGTCCTTTTTTACTACGTCGTGAAACCACTTAGAAGTCTGAATCAGGGCAGTTTCAGCTGTGATAAAAAAATTCTGGTACCACATGTTGTAACAGTATCAACCATACTTGTTACCCGCATGTGTGATCTAAATATGTGGAAAAAAGTGCTTTTGGTGACAATTATATCAGAAAGGAAAATCTTTAACACGTATACTTCACACCTTTTGGGTCGGTTTGTTTGAAAGGATTATCAGTATTTCTCTGTTTTGACATTTACATGCTCCTAAACAACTATGGTTTAAAAGATGCAATGGCCCTCATCGGGTTTCCAGTGGACTGAAGATCTGCCCAGAAAGCAGAAGATCGATGGCACGATCCCTGGCCATTATACCCAAAGAGGTTAAAAGATGGCACTTGTTGTTACCCTGTCTGGGATTTGGCATTAATGGGATAAAGCGCGGAGTGATCAGCTCTGTGTCGGTCTAAGGGTGGTATTCATGCTGAACTGCAGTTTCATATCTCAGTGGACTAGCACGATAAGACCGACACAGATCCAGACTAGACCAAACAGCCACATAACACACACAACAGCATCAACAACAACTACTACTAGACACGCACACGCACACACACGCGCGAATATGTAAGTACAATAATCGATAACGCGACATTAACCTTTCTCCCCTCACCTTACTGATAAAATACACGCAAATAAACCTCACAAAACATAATCCTTACGATTATCGATGGTCGTAATGATTATGTTTCATGAAGTTTTATATTTAAACGTATTTTAGTTACTAGGGGTGGGTATTGCCGAAAATTCATATTGCGATATATTGCGATGCGAAAGCATATATTGCGATATGTATTGCAATATATTGCAAGAATTCTTTTTTTAAAAAACTACTTATAATCGAGTTCATGCTTGATTTACAAAGCAAAAACAAAATCAATATGCTTGATTAGGCTTTAATAAAAACTTTAAATCACGACAAAATAAAAATGCAAATAATGTTTGGAACAAATGAAACAAGGAAAGGAACAAATTAAAAAAACGGAAATATCCGAAGATTTCCGAGTGTTATGAAGTTGTCCGAATGCATGTCAAAATACCGGTTTTCGATCAGCGTATCGCAATACGTATCGTTCTCATGCCTAAACCGGTATATACCGGTAAACCGGTTATATTGCGCAGCACTATATCCGGCCATATTGTCGTACAATTTTGCTGCATCCACAACTTCTAATCATCTTGAAGGCTACGGAAGTCAACAGAAATACGCACGTCGTTTTCATTCAGCTCTACGGGCGGTGGAGTAGCCTAATGGTTAAAGCGTTCGCTCTTCAAGTTAAAAACTCGGGATCTATCCCCCACATGGGTACACTGTGTGCAGCCATTGTGTCCCATGCCGTGATATTGCTGGAATATTGCTAAAAGCGGCGCAAAATCACACTCACTTACTCACTCATTCAGCTCTACTACTTCTTTTATAAGCTCTCGTGTGATATTAGCTGTATGTATATGTCGGTAGATATCCGTAATCGTATGCAGGAAAAACCCCTGGACGATGAAACATTTCCAAGTAATACGCCGATAAGATAAACTTCCCGACGTATGAGACAGGCCTGAACGGAGAAGACAACAACAAGATGGCGGTCGAAACTCTCAGTCTGCTGGTTTCCATTACCGTGCTGCTTAAGGCGACTCGCGGCGACGTCGAACACTGCACGAAGGGAACGTGCACTACGAAGGTAAGGCGGCAACGACGGCAGTTATCTCGCTACCTGTGACATGTGTCTACTTGTTTTGTTTGGGTATGTGGATATGTAATTATGTCAGTTACAAATACACTTAATCTTCATGATTTAAACACACCATGTAGGTATTGTGATGTAATAAATTGGTTTGTGTACTTTGGTATACTTTTTAATGAGAGGAACGACTGTAAACAAGAGGCCTGTTATCATTTTACTCTGAAAATTATATAAATTGGGGCACTGTGAGATATCGATGGAAAACGCGAAGTTGTTGCTCTCAGTTAGTTATTACCAACAACAATTTGGATAAAAATAAACTGCTGCGTAAAAGAAAATTGGATTTAACCAAAATATTGCAAACGTTATCACTACCCTGATACCCTTTCTAAATGCATCTCCATCTGATAACCATTTCTTGGTTCATTCACCCACCATCTAAAATGGATTTATACTTTCTATTTTCCTGAAAGCCTATTAACAGATATTAATTATAATAATCCCTTAATCCTTTTGCATGGTGGTCAGCAGGCGTGGACACCAATTATCACCATGTTATGTGGTTCTGTATATGTTATGTACAAATGACTCATATCAAGCCTGGTGAAGTTACGTTGGTGGCGGAGAATGGGTGGATAGATAGCCATCTTCTTATTTTCGAGACCTACGGTACCCGCCCCACGGTAAAGTACATGTGGGTCACCTTATGACGCCCATGTGACTTACAGTAGTTCGAGGTTAGCCTCTGTTCATCCAGCCCCGAATGGGTACCCGGTACGATGATAATGTTAACCTCTCGCAGCTTGGGTTGTATACTTCTCAGGGAGTACACTGATCAGAAGTAAGAATAGGTGCTTTGATAAATACAGTGATACAAAATCAAAACGCATACAAAATTCTGTAAATTTTTTTATTATATGAAAATAACTGACTAGCAATATTTCAGCCTCTCGGTTTCAACTGTAACGTCGTTTACGAAGAACGTGTCTTGCGGACGAAGTTGCCAGGTAACAACCTCAATGTATCATCATATCAATGTATGTTATCACTGTTATCAACTGATATCAATTGACCCCACTGTCGACGCCAGCGTCCTCAGAATACATCGACAGCGTCTATCGGTTAGAAGATGCGCCGGAAGGTCAAGTTCGTTTACGTGCAGTTGCTTCACTTTATTGTTGCTCGTAATATCCACTACTTTATTTATTTATTTATTTATTTATTTATTTATTTATTTATTTATTTATTTATTTATTTATTTATTTATTTATTTATTTATTTATTTATTTATTTATTTATTCATTATTTATTTATTTATTTATTTATTTATTTATTTATTTTTATTTATTTTTTATGTGCGTCGTAAAACAACCATGATATATATATATACAGCCTCTAAATGTATTTTGGTGAGTGAAGACAGCTTTTGACGTAATATCATAATTACATTGTTGTCCTCTAACCCCAGACGGTGCCCTGCGCGACCTCCCGGGGACTGTGCGAGGGTTATCTCTGCTTGTCAGTAACACCGACCCTCTCTCTGATCCATCCCTTATCATCGGCTGGAGGCCTCCTGAAGGTAGGGACACATTGTTGAAGGTTTCATAGTCAAGCTTCCGTTAAGAATGCTTGACTCTGATTGGTTAAGAATGCTTGATGCTGATTGGTTAAAAAACAGGTATCCTCTTTCACACTGAAACATTTTACAATTTCAACCGTTTCACATAAAATGAATTTCACATATGAATACATCGATAGCCAACATATTGATCCATAAAACCGCCAATAACGTAATTGAGGGAGTCCTTGGGCGTGACATATGTCCCACATAAACCCTGCCTGTCGTCACAGCTGAATACAGAGGGAGCTGCGTGGTTATATGTAACGAGACAGATTTTGGGACATCGTGGGTCGACATGTCGTGTCAAATATTGGGGTCGGTGGGGTAGCCTAATGATTAAAGCGTCCGCTCGTCACGATGAAGACCCGAGTTCGATTCCACACATGGGTACAATGTGTAAAGCCCATTTCAGGTGTTCCCCACCGAGATACTGCTGTAATTTAGCTAAAAGCGTAAAACTATACTCACTCACTCAAAATGTTTGTTGTTACACACAGCGGGGATACAATCTGAGAGCCCAAAGAATCAAAACCGCCCAGATGCATGCATCCTGTGTCTGACTTTCAGCTGAAGATATCTAAACTTATGGATATTGTTTTGATTAAACTATACTGGTGCTTAGTCAGTATTTAAAGAATACTTCTAGAGTTTTTTTATGTTTAAAAAAATAATCAGTTAAAACGTTGAAAAATTGAAACAAATTCGCTGATTACGCAAACATTGTAATTTTGAAAATCACCAAATTTGCTATTTCTTGCACCAATTTACAACGTTTGAAATATGACATGAGTCACATCCCTTTGTGGCCTGTCTTTATGTAGCCAACATATTTTATTCCAAATCTCCTGGCGACAGGCAACCTTTCACAGCTTGTTGACGGAATGTGTGATGTTTAACAGCAAGAATATATTTCACAGTTTTTCAAATTTTCAATAACATATAAAATAAAGTCGGTATATACCTTTTTGGTCGCTCAGTTTAGATGAGCTATAAATGACGGCAACAGAATTGAGCACATTTGATATCAGTAGTAACTTGAGATCAAACAGTTCACATTTTCAGTATCAAGTTTCAGGATATATATCGGGGTCTGCCCACTTACCCAACTCCTATTGTTTCGGTAGAAGAAATCACTGGGGTGTGATAATCCCCTTTAATCCCTTATTTTGTTCCCTGTGAAATAGTTTCCGGGACCAAATGGGATACAATACTACTACTTTTGACTCAATGTGTGTCTATATTTTTTATTATATATACAAGTTATCCAGTTATACAAGTTATCCAGTTATACAACTTAATACAACATCAACATCATGCATATCACATATTACATCAATATTTCACAGCACACATTTCACACTTAATATCCAGTTAAATATGATACTGAGTCAATGTATTTTCTTTAAAAGTTGGGGTGACACATCACATCACACATCACTCACTTTACGATGCCACCCCACTACATGATTTGTTGTCCTAGCACCTTCCGTTCTGAAACGGTTCCACATTTCACGGCCATGATCACACTCCATCCATCCTCCAGTTCTTGATACTGAACTTACAGCCCCTGTAGACCAAGTGCCGACCGCCGCGGCCATTGGGAATGAAACAAGTGTTTACTTGAACGTTTGCCATAGTGTAATGGAGAAACAAGGAAATCTCCATACTTTATAACATTTGTCATTGGCATAGTTCACTCAATTAAAATCAAATTTGTAACAAACGATATAAATATAGTTCACTTAGTATATCTTGTGAAACATGCTCACCGGTGGTCATGAGATTGCTCTGCTTGGCCCTGATTGGAGTGCTGGGTGACCTTATGTCACAACAAAATGAGGGGTAACAAATTCACCCTGCACAATCACTGACCCGTAACTGTTAATCTCTTTTTGGGTGGTCTGTCTTTTGGGTGGTCTGTCTTTTGGGAGGTCTGTCTTATGGGAGGTCTGTCTTTTGGGAGTGAACCAGTTTCAGTGGCCCATTCGTATAATTTTCACGTCTTTTCTTCTTTTAATCTCTGTCTGAAGTTGTAATAATCTGGGTTTTTTCTATCCCCAGTTGCTGTTAGCGTGTTCGAAGTTTATCTGTTAACTTGGGACAATCACAAGCCAGGAAAAGCATCTGTGCCGTTCCCCTGTATGTTTGTCGTCAAGGTCACCGACACAAGCCAGATCACTAAGGTCAGTAAGTGATGAAATTAGAATACGGAATAAAACACAGCTACTTTTAACCCACAGCGGTCTGGCATAAATTGCGGTAAATTACATATGTATGCCTCTATTACGACAGAATGACGTTACAGTAACGTCACATGACGTCATCTGCTTGTCTCGTCATAACTGACCTTGTTCACATTGATGACTGCATGGTTTCATCTGGCTATTTTACCCCTTAAGCTGGGCCCCGTCTCGCATATCGCAAGGTTACACGCACAAAGGGAGCCGCTTGGCTAGCTCTGCCAATATAACCGCATCTTACACAGTCCATTCAAAATTTTACAACATATTTCTTAACTCTTTTATGTTTGACGAGTCTACACATCTAACTGAACATCTTTGATATCTGGTTTAGTTTCACTGAGAAAATATCCTAAAACGTGTAACACTATTTCGATCTGCGTTTACATGGGTTGTACGGCTACACGTGCTGTCAACGAAGCCCAACGAAGAGCACACGATGCAGCCCGTTTGATACATAAATAGGTATTGTCATAAACCTTACCGTCGCTGTTGTAGAAGAATATTTATGTAACAATATAGAACATTCTGAAAAAGCGTACAGAAAAGTTTGCGTTAGGCCAGACTCTTCTTATATTTACGAATATGCGCGTTTGTTTACAAACAAGAGAAATGTCCGGTCATGTGATATGCAAATTAGCCTGTGGCAGTGATGTTATGCTAAGTCATCGCTGCGCTGGAGTGTGACCCCATAGATGAAGAGTTTCTTTCTGATGCACATTTTCCGAAGACTTGAAAATTGCGTTCGTGCGGCCCTTGATTTACCTACGACTATCAAATTACTCCAGTGCCAATACTTAGGCAGTTAGAAAAATATACACTGCGAAGTATTGTCCGAAATTGTGTTATGCGTTAAAAAGAGTAAATTTCAACAAATCCAATGAACAAAACAATTCCTTTACAATGTGTATATATACATTTTATAGAATAAATTAATTAATTATACTTGTAAGGTTAAACTAAACCGCTGTTCATTAACACTTCATTTGAAATTACACTATTGGTCCTAATATTGAATATTGCACATCATAAGAACAAACATTACATGTTGCAGTTATGCCTACGTGTAATCTTCTAACACTTGAGTAAATGTTAATCATATGGTGTACTACGCTAAATGTGTTAATTTCTTATGTAAATTCAAACAAACCGAAACATTCAAAATATTAAAAAACGTACAGCCTGTATCTACTTCGGGCTCAGGGTACATAAACAATCACCGAGGGTACATCAGCCCATGTGCCCCTCGAGACAAGTGAACAACTTATATATCTTACCGAACACCTCAATGGTAATTTTGAACAGTTTGAAGCACAGGTATCAGATCATAGTATGGAGGACAAGACGACAAGAAAAACAAATTAAGAGTTATCTCCCTTCCATCGATTTGCATTCGCACAACATCGGTAATTTCCGTAGATCATACGTGATTCAATGTTATTCGAGATAAAGAATTACTACTGCGAAGTACCAAATGCGTTCGGCATTCCCAACGGGGTACTTAGAAAACGTTACTCGCTTGTAAGCGGGGTACATTGAATATAATAGAAGAGCGCACACACAATCAGAAAACGACATTTATGTGTGAGGCAAGATAAGGCTAAATGTAAATAAGGATTAGTTTTGGGAGAAAATAACAGAACGGAATTCAGTGATGTGTGTGTCGCAGCTGAGGAATATACCTGATGTAATCAATTTCTCATGACTTGCCTTCCCGAATTTATTGTGTAAACACTATCCCATATGGCGGGTTCTAGGTTTATCGACGTTTCAGAATTACCACTCGTGATTTGATGAAAAACAAATATCAGTGATCACTTATATGTTACTTTTGAAATTGAATTCTCCGATTAATTATGAGTGCATACTTTCAAACAATGAAACAGTGTGCGCGTATATTGCAGATTGAACTCCGCGTGACGTCATCGACGTTCCGTAACAGTAAAGACATCACTGTCTACGTCAACACGTGGCTGGGGAACAAGGAGCCATGCTTCCTCAGACAAGCGAAGGTCACCTTTTACGCCACAGGTATTTACAAATTAGTGAGTGATTGTGTAAGGCTTAACGTCGCTGGACCAGTATTTCTGTTATATCACGGCGTGACAGCTTAATGTGGGACAACTGACCCATGAGGAAACCTACGAGCACGATGGGTTGTTGGCTGGTTTGTTTAACGAAATGTTCCAGCTATATGGCGGCGGTCTGTAGATAATCGAGTCTGGACCAGACAATTCAGTGATCAGCTGCATGAGCATCGATCTACGCATTTGGGATGCGATGACATGTGTCAACCCAGTCTTCGAGCCTGACGATCCTATCCCAATAGTCCCCTCTTACGACAAGCATGGGTTACTGAAAACCAATTCTAACCTGGGTCTTCACGGGTTCCACGAGCACTGGTAGGATGTAGAATAATGACAATCCTTATTCGGTCACTCTGTATTAGTTTCATGATATAACCTTGTACTACGAATCGAGGTGCCGCAACGCCTGAGTCACTGGTGTCCCAGTCTACAATTAAACACCTTACACTTGTGTGACATATTTTATTCCAAATCTGACGAAGTGTTAGTTATAAATACAAACAAACAATAACAGGATTTGGAAAACTTGTTTGCTGTGTGTTATGAAACTAAAGTCAACTTCTCGTTACAAACAAAGGTATCACAGAAAATAATTCATGATGCGTTCCCGAGATTTTAGTTTAATCAATATTGTATGCAGTTGGGAGTAAGCATATATATATATCGAACGTTTCCTCCTCATGAACATCTGAATCAGATTCCCTCCAGCTCACACCTGCCTTCTGGAACTACCTTCTGTCTATGGCGTTGCCTGGCAACGACAGCCTGCAACTGAGCTTCCACCCTCTCCCAAATGCAACCCGACACATGGTGCAAGTTTGCCTGAAAACACATCTTCAGGAAGGCACCCAACGACGATCAGGGTACCAATGTAGCAAGTTTCGTTCGCTGAGACAGGTGCATATTATTGTGTTTTTGGTTGTTGTATAACTAAATCCTGTTTTGTGAGAGTGCGTAGGTGTGTGTATGTTGGTATTTTGGGGAGTTGGCATTTTTTTAGGGGTTTTTTTAGGGGTTTTTCTAGTTGTTTTATTTATTATTTATTTATTTATTTATTTATTTTTATTGTTTTTGTTTTGATTTTATGTGTTTTTACATGTTTTACTTATTGTTCTATTTATTATTTATTTATGTATTCATTTATGTTTTTGTTCTGATTTTCTTGTGTTTGCTATAGTTCGATTTTATAGTTGCTATAGTTTTGTTTTGATTTGGGGGTGGGATGTGTCTTATCTGTTGTTCGCTACTTTAACTTACTTTCGGTGATTTTTCGGAAATTTTCTATCAGATTCTTTGAAATGCTGTCGGCACGTCTGCGTTAATGGTTGAAATCGTTGTGCATTTACCAACAGATTCCATTTTTATTAAAGTTTTAATTTCATATAATATTGCTAATAATTCCAGCCAGTTAGTCACAGAGGTTATACTTTCTGTAACCATATATGTTTGTCTACACGAATTATCACTTGTGGCATTCAACTTCAGTAGCCTTTGTTGTAGGGAACAAAGACGGGAATATTCCAGTTCAGTAAAACCTGTGCAACATATCGTATACAGGTAAGTCCACTTGTGACTTCCGCGTTCTCTGCAAATGATTTTACCAGATCAGATTAGGGGTGTTTACTGTTAAATGTTAATGTATATTGTAACCACGAAAACATTATTCTGATTAAGCCGCTGTTTTTGTTTTGAATGTAGATCATCCCTGTGCCCAACGCTTACAGACAGGTGTACAGAGTGCATCGCTTTGTGCCAGGTATACGTAACTTCATGTTTCAATCTCTAATTGCTCCGTAGACCTGTTTTAGACCAAGTGGGAGCGGTGGGGTAGCCTTGTGGTTAAAGCGTTGGCTCCGTACGCCGAAGATCCGTGTTCGAATCCCCACATGGGTACAATGTGTGAAGCCCATTTCTGGTGTCCTCCGCCGTGATGTTGCTGGAATATTGCTAAAAGCGGCGTAAAACCAAACTCAATCAGTCAGGCTAGACCAAGTATATTAAGTATATATATCTAGTTATTACATGGGGTAGCCTTGTGGTTAAAGCGTTTGCTCGTCACGCCGAAGACCCGGGTTCGATTCCCAACATAGGCATTGTTGTTATACTGTTGACGTTTTGCCTCGGCATATTGATTAGCTACAGCTGCTGGGGGATCCTGAGGGTACCTACCCATCCCATCAACCCACCACCCATACCTAGACCCGGACCCCACACACCTACCCTGACCCGCACCCACCAACAACCACATCTAAAATCATCTAGACCCATACTAACACCCATCCACGCCTACACCCGCACCCATCCACACCCGCACTAACACCCATCCACGCCTACACCGCACCCATCCACACCCGCGCCGACACCCACGTACGCCCATACCCGCACTTACACCTACACCCGTACCCGCACCCACTTTCACCCATCCACACCCACACCCGCATCCACACCCACATCAGCACCTGCATAGACCCATTTCCTCCCACCCTGATTTAGCGAGACCCATATTCTGATTGAAAATGTCGTGACATCCTTCTGGTGGTCAGACATCTGGGTATAAGTCGGCTTGCCATACATGCCTATGTTGATCTGTTGTCATAATGTTTCGTTTTTTCATCATTCAACCCAGCTCTAAAAAGCCCTTCACGTGACCCAGTCGCATTGTCGTTACTTGAATCAGCATCGCTTTCATCCAACACGCCAAAGGTCAAGGACAGACATGGTGTCAACGTCATCCTGGTATCAGTTCTAGCGTCACTCCTTGGGTTGGCGGCAGGGATAGCTTTCATTTGGAAGCGTGTCAGACGGAGACGATGTTGGTACTCACCACCGACAAATGGTATGGCATGTGTCACAATCGTTTATGCAGAAGCTCGCATTATTAATTAATCAATAGCGCCTCATTATAGAGTTGCGTCCCTTTGGTACCCCGTTAACGTTGGAGTCTGGGCTCGAATCCCGGTGGCTCGATTATGTTTCTAGGTTTGCCAGCACCGCACCCGTGTTCGTGGGTTTCCAGAAGGTGATGGGCATCAGAGACCCCCAACCCTACTTTACTTGGGCCTTTTGTCCCCCATCAAGTTGATGTGCACTGCTGTTCAAGTAGCATTAAATCGAACTCAGTCTCTCACTCAGATGGAGCTTATTGTGTCGGAATTGTGGCTGCGTTCGTTGATTATATGTTCGAAATCCAACCTCTGGACACTTTGTGGTAATCCATGAACGTTGAAATAATGTATAAATCCTCCCAAACATTTTAAAATTGATATGAGAAGAGGGGTTAGTTTAAGCTTAAACGCCGATTTTGCCACCTTTTCTTTTGCCAGACCTATCAATATATGATAAAAAGTGTTCACTACGAGCCCGGGTATGATGGGCACACCTTGTATCATTTTCAGAGTACGTTGAGGACCTGAGGCCATATCCACCCTCATGAAGGGGAAACAACTCTGACACCTGTTGTGCCTCAGACCATCCATTTCTTGCTCAAAGTCGATCCTCTCGAAATGAAACACAGGGGTCATGTATTCTACATCAGACGAGACACGTTGATCGGGTTAGATTACACTAGGTTAAGTAAGAAACAAATCTCGCCCAGTCTCGTTCGTCGCGATACCATGGAGGCGTGGATTTACATGTCGTCTCCACAATAGCGATGATCGTAATCGATGTTTCTCTGTTTAGATTTAGGCCTGACAATTGAATATACGTGTCCTTGTCATTTCAACATCATAATTTGATGAAAAGACAGCCACGGACTAAAATTGGTCTAGACGCCATTTGTCATTACGTGTTATTGGATCGTCTCACGGCGGAGGAAGATTCGAGATGATTCGATTTCTCATCTCTAGCGACCGTTCTGTAGAAAGATCTCATTGATAAAGGTTACAGGGGTAATACGATATATGAAATGGGATGATGATAGTTTATGGTTCCCATTATGCTGCGGAAATGACAACAGATATAAGAGAAACATTCACGAAATTCACGTCACTTCAATCGAATCGAATCACTAATAACCTTTAGTTAGCTCTCCATAACGAACCATATAGTTTCTAATTTCTCGTCCAATATTTCAGACGAATGTCAATGTGACCTAATTTTACAAGAGTAAATAAAAAACTTACACCTGAATGTGATGTTGAAAGGTCAGGCCCCGATTTCTCGAAACAAACTTAAGTTTTTACTCAAATTTCAAACTGAGTTTGACAATTTGAAACAGCTGAATTTTTAACTCAACTGCATTTTTAAAATAAAAAAAGCCCAAACTATCCACCAAACTCAAATTGTCTACTAAGTTTGAGTTTAATATTGATTTCAGTTTATTCTGGGAAATGCATTTTCCTGCGTTTTCTCAAATTTGAGTCAAAACTCAGACTTAAGTTTGTTTCGAGAAATCGGGTCCTGATCTTTAAGACAGAATGCCGACGCACACAAGGTATGGCCTCAATATGGAGCCGATATGGTGTCTCCATTACTTCATGTGGTACGAGATGATTAACAATGATTTGGTTATCGGGCTGAGATAGCGACCCATGTATCGACACCCGATCTCCTTACCTATTGCTTTATAGTTCCATGTTCGCCTGACCAACAATCTGAAACTGTAGACCCTTAACACAAACCACAGTTTTCATATGTTGAGCTCTAATATGATAAGGATGGTGTTTAACAACCAAACGTGTTAAGGTAGATATACCGTTATAACTATAACCCCATGAAATACATTGCTGGAAACATGAAAAAGGGACGCTTTATATGCTTTTGTTTTTATTTCGTGGTTTGTTGGTGGTGGTTATTGTTGTTTTAGGGTTTTTTGTTCTTAATTTTTATTAAAAAGGGTAGGGCGATTTAATAAGTTAAGGGTCTATCAAAGCAATATATACTTTCATGGCCACTTCCCGTATCCTGTGTGTGAGAGAGAAATACTATTATTTATAAAACAACACATTCATGAACGCAACACTTTGAAAAACTGGACTGGTTACGAACCTATAAACTCCTCCCTTTCTTGTCTATCACTCTACCATCTGTCTCATAGGGGCGTGTCTCGCTTTGAAACAGCGTTAGAAAGACATATAGGTGTGTAGACCCTACCCTATTACTATATAAAAGGAAAGGGATGTAACAACGAAACCACCCTCTCCTCAATCAAAGTTAGATTTCACCACATAAAATATTCTAAGGCCCCGCCGAGGCCTACGAATCGAAAGCTAGATGATTTCCCTACAAAATGAGCTGTAAATGGTCACAATCGGATCATTATTTCAAAAGTTATACGCCACAACTCACCGAAAACAGCTACCTCCATAATTCTAAGCCAAAATCATGGATCAGCCAAGACAGCGAAAACTCACCTTTTAAATTAGTTTATTAATTCCAGCCACGTTGACAGCACCTATGTAGGGCTAGATTCGATCAGCGGCCACATTCCACGGGTCTAAAAACTGATTGCAACATCTACATATCATTTACTCGACAGCAAGCAGGCACTTTCTCCAAAATCATCGGCAATCATACTCCCTTGTCGGCCACAGATGACATTCATGGGTACAATGTGTGAAGCCCATTTCTGGTGTCCCCCGACGTAATATTGCTGGAATATTGCTAACAGCAGCACAGAGCTAAACTCACCCTTTTTAACATTTGAAACCGTACACATGTTTAGGTTATGGCGATATTGTGTTTGGGTGCGGTTTAATCTGTGAGACGATAGCCCATTCCATATATTATATCCTAAACGTGTTTTTTGGGGGGTTATTTTAACACATTCCTAAACATGTTTAGATATAAATACGTCTTGTATGTGTTCACAATATTCACACATCTAATATATAAAGAGATCGAGTATTTGTAGGCCTCCGTGAACCAGTGTAGCAATAAACTCACTCACTCACTTTCAAGGCAGGCTACAAGGTAGCTTGTTTGAGTGGTGATTTAGAAGTTGAGACGTACGATATAGAACAAACTTTATGGATAACAACGTCTTTATTTCGTGAGCGCGACGTTTCGACACAGATTCTTGTAACGTCGTCATTCCTGCTTGACAACGATACAAGAATCTGTACCGAAACATCGCGCTCACGAAATAAAGAAGTTTGCTCTGTAAGGTTACAAGGTCTTTGCTTTGACAGGAGGCCCACATGAATATCGGCTGGTCACAATGTTAGCGGTAGCTGTAGTAATGGAATGATCCTGTTTACAAAGCCAGCAACAAACAAATAAAAATTGAAAATGTATTTACCTGAAAAGATGGAACCTGAAATATATCTATTTCTAGTTTTTTAGTTGTTTGACAAAATTACAAATTCTGCTTCATACTGGAGTTTGAGATCAGTAAAAGTTTTGGACTGAAATGTCAGTTTTCAGGTAGCCGTGATACGAAATATTCCGGAATGTTGGCATAAAGACCTTCCTACTCTATTGTTTCCACAGGTAACTACGAGCTCCTGCAGTACCCTACTGCACACAACACAGACATTGACGCGGAGTCTGATGTGGAATTCTGTAAGTATACAGTGTTTTCGTAATCTGTTATATACTTCATGATATATGTTTATGTGTCGCACTTTTCCTATCATTAAGCAAGTCAAGTGTTCACCGAAACAAACACAGAACCATTGGGTACAATCCAGAATATGTATTGGGGCTCTGAATCAGTTGTTGCAGAAACATACATTTACATCATTGTTAAATTTCCAACATAACTTCCAACCTCAGTTTTAAAATTTTTTAATTTCCAATCATAGGCTTGTTCACAATTTGACAGTTTCAAGAGGGGCAGTTTACAGATTAAAGACACAAAGTGACAGTAGTTGATAAAATCGAACTTTCAGGTTTCGGTACCTTTAGCAATATTGTATTCTGACTTTGAGTGTAATCGCAAAACCTGAAACCCTTTACTTATCAAAGGTATTTTCTACCTTAGGGAGCGAGCTGAGGAGAACGACAGTCAAGAACATATTCTTGTTGTACTCAGAAGATTGCGAGTGTCATCTAGAAGTTGTTGAATCACTCTCGAGATGTTTGGAGACATCGTTCAAATGCAGGGTCCGTCAAGTCGACCGTGCCAAAGATATCGATACACAGCTGGAAACTATATATGTTGTTCTTTTGGTCAGTTCAAAGGATGTATTTACGTCCTTGGACTTGCATCGATCCAAGTTACCCCAAATCCAGGACCCAATCACCCAGACTGCTGGTGACATGGGTCGTGTGATAGACAGGCTACTGGAGGCCTACAGTGATAGGGTGGTGATGGTGCGGCTGGCCTTCACTGAAAACCAGTATGTGATACAATCCCCAAACAACCACGTGTTTACCATCCCTGGACATATGTCCGACCTCATCTGTCGTATACATAAACTTGGAGACCTTGCGGCAGAACACAGTATGAGGAAGTGGTTAACGACGAGGCCAGAGGCTAAAGATCTGATGTCTTCCATTGAGAAAGCTTCGAAGTGCTGTGGTAGATCTAGCTGTTCAGTGACTAGGAATCCAGGCGCGGGGCTGTTTCAGGACTCGCATGTGGTTGCTGTGCAGGACATTGGTGCGCTGGATAGACAAATGGTGGATTTTCAAGATCTGGGTGGACAAACAGAAGTGTTTGAGGACTTGGATGGGCAGGGAGCATATGCCGGTGAGCTCAAGGACTTGGGTGAGCAGGGGTGGAATGGGATGGTACTTGAGGAACTTGGTGGACGAGGCGAAGACAGGGTTGAAGTCAAGAAATTTACTGGGCAGATTGGGCGCTACAGGGCAATTAGGTGGACACCCTCTTGAGGTAGCACAAGAAAGACAGGATGCCGACATGGATCCGTGGATCCCACCAACAATAGAACCTGTTGAAGACAGTTCCCTGGAGGAACTGGAGGAAGGCCTGCTCCTTATTACACAGAACCATGAGCATCGCTTGAATGACGAAGTTCGATTCCGACTCCGTTCCTTTGTTGATGACAGTTCTTGATGCCGCTTTTGGCGGATATAGTTCTCGTATCTAACTTGGCACCAAACTCTCTGTTGGTCCGTACATAAGCAGCGAGTTTCAGGGACAATGCTGAGGACAGTAAATGTGACTTTCAATGTTTCACTAGTAACTCAGTCGAAGTTTCCCACACCCTAAAAGTTATATCAAAATACCAGTGTGTGATTTACATAAACGTGGTCAGTTTGAATGTATTTGGGGGTGGTGGCATAGCCTAGTGGTTAAAGCGTTCGCTCATCACACTGAAGACTCGTGTTTGATTCAAATTATGGGAACAGTGTGGTGTATTCCGCCGTGATAGTGCTAGAACATATGTAAATGCGGCGAAAAACAATACTCACTCAAGTGTATTTGAAAGGCTATGAAATTCAGACTGAAGAATTCCTTCAAATAGTCCCAAATTAACACAATTCTGGATTCTTAAACCACGGCTGTATTACTTGCAACACTGCTGTTGATTGAGCGTAGAACGTTACCAGGTATCCTTTACTCGTCTGCTCAGTGACAATTGTGTGACTTAGATGGTATTACTTATGGAGGCCGGTAAACATGTAGGCACAGCAATTAAGCATCATCACAACGCACGCTTTGTTCATATTCCATTTTTTCATATGATTATATTCCACGTATGACGGTAGGCTGAATTGATCTGATGTTTTTATCTGAACCAGAAGCCAGAATTGACAAATGCAAGTGTTTAAAGATGAATGATTAATGTACGACTTGACTGATGAGAACAGTGTTATTAGTTAATGGGCTTGTATGATAATATGATACAGGTGCACATTACTAGTCTTGAGGAGGCGGTATGGTAGCCCAGTGGTTAAAGCGTTCGCCTTTCACGCTAGAGACCCGGGTTCGATTCCCATTATCGGTACAATGTGCGCAGCCTACTTCGGGTGTCCCCCGCCGTGATATTGCTGGAATATTGTTAAAAGCGGCGTAAAACCATATTCTCTCACTCACTGCTAGCCTATCCATCACCACGTCACCAAGTGTTTTTCATATACATGACAATATGAAAATTACATCATTGCCATTTTGTATGCTTCAACATTTGTTCCCTGTAGAACTAAACCGATATACAAATCCTGAAATATACCAGGTTAACAATCTATCGCGCGCCCCAAATCACATTCTCTTCCCACAGAGTCATCTGTCATATCTTCGTAGGAAGAAATGACAAGTAACCTCTGTGGGGAAACGTTTCTTCTTGACAAATCAGTCATGAATCAAGGATTGACCGGCAAGCTAGCCATTAAACGTCTTGTGTTCATGCCAAGGGATGGGGGAGTACTCTAACGAGTCAACATTGTTTACGCCAAAGCGGCGGTAAAATACAACAGACGCCCGTGAAAATATCTTGTCATAAGAGATCTATAGCATAAATTTCAATTGAGTGAGTGAGTATGGTTTTACGCCGCATTTGGCAATATTACAGCAATGTCACGGCGGGGGACACCAGAAAAGGGCTTCACACATTGTACCCATGTGTAAACTTCAATTGGAACATTCACGTGAATTATTCTAGTGAAAATCCGCTCAGTGGTTTCACACACATTGAAATATAAACCAGCCAGTGATTAGATCTATTCCTGCCGAAATAAAAAGTAGAAACGTTGGATTGCATACTTCCACAGATTTTATTTATTTATTTATTTATTTATTTATTTATTTATTTATTTATTTATTTATTTATTTATTATTTATTTATTTATTTATTTATTTATTTATTTATTTATTTATTTATTTATTTATTTATTTATTTTATTTATTTATTTATTTATTTATTTATTTATTTATTTATTTATTTATTTATTTATTTCTTTATTTATTTATTTCAACGGTTTGAATTGTATGAGGTAGCGTGCCGGGATTCGAACAAACATCTACCACTCCAACAAATCCATAATGTCGAAAACATAATAAGGCTATTATGACGTTCCATTCTCTTAATAATCGTAGACATTACGATATAACCCGTCCACTTAAGATTCTTTGAGAAAGTGTCGTCACGTAGTCGCTAGAATGTTTAGAGGAATGATATCATGGTATTTCCATGATATACCGTTTATCCCAACTTGTTATCGCCTAAAACAACACGATAAGTGTGTATGTCAGCGTTGCTTTCGAAAGGATTTTACGACATGTCAGCTAACGTATCAGGTTTCACGTCCAGTTTTGCAATATCTGAGAGATGTCACGGCATCACACATTTTATCCAAGTGGGGAATCGAACTAGGGTTTTCGGTGTGACGAGCGAACGCTTTCACCACTTGGCTATCCCATCTATGAAATAGTGATGATACCAGGTGTTCGCGAAAAGGTGAGCGTATCCTGCCCCACTGGGCATCCGTCATATACATAATATTATGCTATGTCTAGTCATTTGTTCACCTGAACAAAATCCGGATCGTATGGTATAAGTCAAAATAGGGAATTGCATCGGACATCATTTTTGTCACCGATGCATCAAATTTGGAAATGTCCTCCACGTGTCTACCATAAAACTTCTTGAAAGCTTTACTGAGGCCTTGAATGTTGTAACCTTGATCAAACAACCTCTCAGCAAGAGTGGTATGACGCTCTTTGAAATCCTGATAAAAAGAACACGCTTGATTGTACCTCAAAAGTTGTGAAATGTAAACACAAAAAGCTGGAGCTGTTGGAATATTGCTCAACATGAAAGGGAAGTTGACTATTGGAAAGTTAAAATCATCCCTTTTAGGCATGCGGCCTTGTGGATAGTTGTTTTTGTCACTCTGGATCTTTATACATAACTATGAAACAGTTGAGGCGGTCTCACTTGTCTCATTAATTTAAAGTTCAGGTAAATCAGTGGAAGGCAATTGGCTATTTGATGGTTATTGAACGATATTAGATCATCGATGTACCGGAAGCTTAAGTTAAACCTCATGACCAGATTACATTGTTTTCATTTTGCCAACCCAAGCAGGAATTCTGATTCATATGCATAAAGAAACAGATCCGCAAGGAGGGAAGCCATCCGTGCCAATTCGAAACAACAGAGGTTAGGAGGGGCTTTTCTTTAATGTAGAAACACCTATTTCTGATGTCCATGCCGTGATATTCTGGAATAGTGCTAAAAGCGGCGTAAAACAACACTCACCCAGTTTAATGTCAGAAACAAGTGCTCCCTTATTATTCAGGGTTCCTGTGACATCATGCGTGTTCAAATCAGTCAATAATGGGATAGATATATGCACAACGCTCAAGTCACATTGATAAGGATGATTCTTCAAGATTTGTTTCTGTTACCACAACCCTCAGCAATATTCCTGCCATATGACCGCCGTCTCCAAATAATCGAATCTGAATATCGGAACATCGATCTACGTCAATGGGATACGATGACACGTCAACTAGTCTGTCTACCCGATCCCATTAGCTGCCTCTTACGACAAGCATGGGTTGCTGAAGACCAATTCTAACACGGAACCTTCATGAGAATATGCATCAAGAGTAGACCAAAGTCAAGTGCAGACAAGTCTAATAAGCAAAGAGCCCCAGGCTGCAGACTAATACAATCACCACTCTAATCCTTATTTCTTTGGTGCTTAACGCTGTTGTCAGCAATATTCCAGCTATATGATGGCGGTTTGTATATGATCGAGTCTGGACCAGACAATCCAATGGTCAACACCATATAGAGCAGCGATCCACCCGCCGGGTACAATGAGTGAGTGAGTTTAGTTTTACGCCGCTTTTAGCAATATTCCAGCAATATTACGTCGGGGGACGCCAGAAATGGGCTTCACACATTGTACCCAAGTGGGGAATTGAACCCAGGCCTTCGGCGTGACGAGCGAACGCTTTGACCACTAGGCTACCTCACCGTCCCCGGGTACAATGACAATCATTCAACAAAGTCACCCACCCTGACCATCCAATCCATTTAGTCATCTGGAACGACCAACTTTAAAGAACCTATTCCAACACGAGAACCTCACACGGTTCGAAAATTCATATTTGTAGCCTCTATTATATATTGAGCGAGTTTAGCAATATTCCAGCAATATCACAGTCGGGGACACCAGAAATGGGCTGCGCACATTGTACCGATACTGGGAATCGAACCCGGGTCTTTAGCGTGAAAGGCGAACGCTTTAACCACTGGGCTACCATACCGCCTCAAGACTAGTAATGTGCACCTGTATCATATTATCATACAAGCCCATTTAGGAGATAACCCTAGTGTGTTTGAAAATCAGAGACATGCTTTACTGAATTGATGGCGACTAAATTTCAATTGGAACCGAACGCGTGGGAACCATGTGGGAATCGAACCCGGGTCTTCGGTGGACGAGCGAACGCTTTAACTACAAGACTACCCCACAGCCCTCTCTATAATATAAGGCTACGCATATGATTTGAGACGACTTAATAACTTTAAATGTTATTTTGTCATGTGTGCATGGCTGATAAATCCTGTCTCACTGTTCCAACCTATTGTCATATTGCTTTTCTGATCACATATTTTTCCTGTTTCATCATTTTAAGATTTGTCTAAAACAATAACCAATTTATATTAGTCAAACTGTTCGATATTGGTTTGGTTGGTTGGTTTGTTGTTTAACGTCGCACTCAGCAACATTCCAGCAATATGGCGTCGGTCCACGCAATTAGGATACGATGACATGTACCAACCTGTCAGCGACCCTGACCACCCGATCCCGTTTCGACATGCACGGCTTGCTGAAGACCAATTCCAACCCGGATCTTCATGGGTTGTTCGATATTAAAGTAGACAGTAGTTCATCTTTTTAGTGCAACCCCAGCTTGCAGAAATTCTGCACTTTCTGCCATGCTAATAACGCCGAAATTGAGCTGTTCTGTAGTGTGCCCAGTATGAATGAGTGAGCTTGTGAGTGCATTTGGTTTTAGCAATATTCCTGCAATATCGACCAGAAATTATTGAGAATTTTAGGAATATGTTTAATTGGATTTCTAGTATAAACAGCCTTGACCAGCTATCAAGTGCTTGGTTTCATTCAAGAGAGACAACTCCGTTAATCCTTTTTCATTAGTTTGTGAAGAGTTATCCCCCTTTGTTTACTTGCTAGCAGACGACATTTTCAGTGATCCTCAGTATGGATGATTTAGAGAAGAAGAAGTTGATTTTAGAGTATTATAACAAGGACATCTGATCAGCTAAAGTGATTTCAAGTAGAACAGGCATCCCTTTGTCCACTGTTTATCGTGTTTTGAAAAATATTGCAAATGGATATGGCATTGAGAACCAGGGAGGCGCAGGTAGGCCCAGAAAATTGACTGTCGGTGACAGGAGTCAGCTTGGTATTCTTGTTTCTAAAAACAAACGAAGGAGTTTAGAAAACTTAAGGCTGGATATGATTGATAGAGGAACTGTGGCTGTCTGTAAGGAGACAATTAAAACTGAGCTGCATGCAATGGGTTGGCAGAAACGTCGAGGAATTCCATCACCGATCATGAAACCTGAACAAAAGGAGCGAAGCTTGAACTGGTGCTTACAGTATAGAAATGTTAACTGGGACAATGTGATTTTCTCAGATGAAAGTTCTGTGTGGCTGTTTCCTAATACACTGAAATTCTGGACCAAACAAACTGAAAAACCTTTGTATCAGCGTCCAAAGTACAGTCCGAAATTTAACGTGTGGGGTGGCATATCTGTGTTAGGGGCAACGCCCCTCTGTGTATTTGAAGGGAATATGAGCGGTACACAGATATTCTCGAGGGAAATTTACTTCCATCTGCTCACGTGTTCTATGGACATTTTTGGATTTTCCAGCAGGACAACGACCCAAAACATCGTTCAAAGCATTCACAGGCATGGTTTCGGACCCAAAATATGACATTATTAGATTGGCTAAGCTATAGCCCCGACCTAAATCCAATAAAAAAAATGTTTGGGGACTAATGAAGGAATGTGTCAATAAGAAAAATCTGACAAATTTTGCTGAAATAGAAGAAGAGGTAGTCCGATATTGGGACAGCATGGACCACGACTTTCTAACTTCTTTGATCAGTAGTATGCCCTGCCGCATTGAAGCCTGCATAGCTGCCCATTGTGACATGACAAAATACTAACTGTTCACCTGTCTTTGAATCTGGAGTTATGTTCTGCTAATATTCACATTTAATACATGAGTAATGAGTGAAAAAATTTTTTTTACAATCTTTACATTCTCAATCATTTCTGGTTGTACTGTATCACTCACTCACTCACTCACTCAACCACTCAACCACCGACTCAACCACCCACTCAACCACCCATCCACTCAACCACCCACTCACTCAGGTATCTTTCGTGGTGATTCCGTGTCAGCATAGGTCGCTACCAAGCGGTTAAACGTTCTTGTGGTAATATCCAAATGATCGGATCGTCAACCAAGGCAACTTGGTTGATTGTTCATGAACAACAAAGATGTGAATTTTCTGATGCGTACCAAACAGGCGATAGGGCGAGGGTATAGAGTCTATGTGGTGAGAGATATTTGGAGCTAAAAGATATATTCGGCTAACGACAGAGTTGGTCCATAAAACATCACGTCTGTTGTAACTGCTGACAAAAACTCGAGACCTGTTGATGAGACTCTGCGACGTTTCAGTAACTGTCTTTGCCTGGTCAGGATTCGTATATGTTGACGCGACAAACCTGGAATGACATCGATTGAATAGCATTCACCCATTCAGAAAATCAGAGTCTCTTCCTATCTACCTATATCTTACGTGTGTGAGTGAGTTCTGCCCTATGCCGCTTTTAGCACCACGACTGAAGACATCAGAAATGGTCTCTCACACTGTACCTAAGTAATGAATCGGCATATATGACCACCCAAACTTCAACAGACTTCAAACTTCAAAGCAATACCATAGATCCATCCTAAAGAAGGCCGCTTGGCAATAGTTTACATCACAAAAGCACAGAGATAAATGCAAAAACCCATCATGCATCGTCAAGAATACATGTTGTTCTTTTATAAACAAACAGACTTAATTTTGAATACTTCCCACTGAACAGTCCGATGTAACAGTTTAAACCAATGAACACATACCTGCTATCAACAAGAACAAAATTAACGGTAAGAACAAAATTGACAGCAAAAATAGAATTACCATTGTCCCCGAGGTCAAAGCCAAAGTGTGATCTCCAAATACGTCACAGTAATGTCTAACAGTTTGATGTTTATTACAGATAACTGTGGGTGTTATTGGACGTCAATTGTTCCCACTCGACTTGTATCTTGTGATTGCAACGTTAGTAGGTGTTTCAAGCACCGTTCTACTTCACCACAATGGCGTTTAGAATGCCCCCTGGCGTTTTTCAAGGCCGCGACCAACAGTTGATCTACCCGTTACAGCAGTTGACAGATGTGACCGCCGAGGGCTGCTTTGATTAGACCTAAACAAGAAACCCAATCGATACCACCAGCCGATTGACATTGGTCATTGTGAATTCAGCTTTTGGAATCACGGAATTCACTGTTGCGTATTCTGTTGGAAAGACTGATGAATATTCCTGTAGCGCATTACACAGGCGGTTTGATTATTGGAAGAATAAGGTTGAATCTGAGTGGCACCATAGGTGTTGTATCGCGCATTATACTACTGAGTGGAGATACGAAATTCAGTAACTGCAACGGTTCGCCATCCATATTTCATGTCTTTGACGCTCGTTAGCATAATTGGAGAACTCGGTCGCAATATATTGGGGACGGAATCCCAGCTCACGACTTCGATTCACAAGTTAGGCGTGTGACGTAAACTGCCCGTGGCTTCCATAGGTATTGATCTCGGCTGTAGTTGAGAACCTGACAGAAATCATATGACGCTGTCCGCAGTGTGCTGGTACACAATGAAGCGAGGACAGTAAGGCAGGAACGAGCTCCAGAAACCGTCTTGTTCTTATCGATCCAGTGGAAGTGTACGGCAGTAGGGAAAGTCTTCCTACAGAGGACGGCAGCAGAAGGTTGTGTTGCCTCTGCTGAACGTATCGTTCAAGTGTCGTCTGCTCTTGTGAGAAAGCGCGGGAAAGTGTGAGTCACGCGCCAAGCAGCCGGGAACCGTCATTAGAGTAGCAGACGACAATGTAAATGATTCGTGAAAAGACATTCCTATGATATGGACACCCCAGTAATACTGTTACAAGATGGAGGTCTCATTGGTACTGGGGAATTTCGGATCGAATCCCAAGATGGCGACCGGACCCTGGAATGAGGAACCGCCGACGTTAATACTGTCACAATGACCATCGCGACGTAATGTCATGTTTCACCGACACGGTTAAGCAATCTCGAAGTCTATGCATGATCCAGGGGTGTTAGTTTCGGCCAGAACTGATTTACTCATCACATCGTACTGTTCTCTCTCTCTGTTGTGCCTTCTTCTCCTCTCAAGTCTAGTGCTAGTGATCCGTGCTATTCAGATAGTAATGGGCAACGAGGGGAGTGCTCACTCGTCTGAATGCAGCACACCACTTTCTGAGTATGCATCTATGTACTCGTATTCCCTGGGGTCCCGTCCCCGGTCCTCTGTCCCCTCCACAAGGGCGCCTTCCCCGACGTTGCCGCCCGAGCCTGATCTCAGCCACCTAAGTCCAGAGGAAGTTGCCAAGATAAAGAGCGTGATGGATCGCGCCAAGAATATGCAAGCTCAAGAGCAGATGCGGGTCAGGTAAGATCTCACATGTTAAATTAATCATCTTAAGCGTGTGTTTTTATTGATTTCCAGCGCGTGTTCTGCACGCGCATTCTGAATCGTTTAACGGCTGAGCGTCCACCAATGGTTTCAGCCAGAAATGATGATTCACTCCTTCATGTGTCAGCAATGATAAACAGCATGTGGATATAGTCACCGTTCACGGGTCGTTCAGCTGAGGAATTTCCATTGTTTGTCACACGTGTGTATTTCTGTGGATATGTGAACAGTCTTCTCCCTTGATTGTCAGGTAAGACGTTGCTATGAGACGCAAAAGAGATCCCTTCATTGCTGTCTTTAAGCCAGCAGCGATCCACATGAAAGCGGAAGCCAACGTGAAATCATGGATAAGCTCATTAGATATATAGTAGCAGGTTCATAAGCTTTCAAAAGTAAATCTTTTAGAATTCATATTTTCGTATTAATATTCTACAGAAACGGTTGTTTTATGTTGACGCAAGCATAATTAATTCACATTGAAAATATGAGTATAATTATATACCATTCATAAACATCTAGGAAGTCAATCTGAAACAGTTGTTACTGCTAAACAAGTATTATGTTCCAAGTGTATCATCACGTCACGTCAGTATGGCACGGTTCTTGGTGTTTATCGATCTGTACTATTAGGTTAACTGAAACATGTAAAGCCTGTTAAGCACACCAAAGCCCGAAGTCACTCATACACCTACCAAAGCCTGCTCTTACAAATAATCGTTCACACAATCAAACAGATACATTGTTCATTGTTGCCAAAGTTGATGTTCCGCCCCCTGCTGATTCTTATGACGTCATCAAAGCATCTGCCCAACCATTCCCAACTGTGACAAACCTTGTCCCGTTAGATCCTTTGTTACGTATTATCAGTGCTTGGAACACAAAATGTCAATAAGATAATTGCTACAGACTATCCCAAAATGGACCCGCCTACTCCCAAACATGTCTTTCAGAAGTGTCGGTAACTCCATCAAGGTATTGCATTATTTATAGTTCGACTGTGATCGGTCTCTTGGGACCATGGATCTTTAATGGAACTAAATGATATTGAACCATCAAAATTACCTTGTTCCACTGTACTATTGGCTTGTCGTTAAGTGACTTATTTTCACGGATCAATAAACGAAAATAATCGTGAATGACCTTGAAGGTGATTATCTAGATACATGACATGGCGTTCCACATTGATACAATATTCTAGAGATTTAAACAACAGTCAAAATCATTATAAAGTCCTAAGAAATGTATATCCTCAAAAGAATGTTAATGACGAGTCTTTTAATAAAACATTTCTCGTATAATTATAGTTTTTTTATACTTTGGATGAACTGTATGTTGAACAGTGTCATGTACTTAACGTTAAAAACAGGCCATCACCTATTTACCACACGTATACTAATTCTAATTATCTGCGATATTGTTCTTTAGTGAATTAACATTGCTAATGTCTTTACGCTATTTTCGTATCACATATATTTGGAGAGATTACAATATGATGATAGCAATGGCAAATATTATAAGAAATAGAATCTCTAAACCTCCACAGCCTCTTTCTGGGCACCGTCATTACCAGTTATTTTAGCACTTCCGGTAACGTATCGACCAGGGACCGGTATGGACGAGGTTACATCAGCCCATCACTAGGGTCATTAAGGAACACAGGCCGGCTTAGTTGTGTAACTATCTGCTCTACACAACCATTATCTCCCACTAACAGATGTAATAATGTCAGCGACCGGTAAATAAATAGGATGTTGTCAAGGATAAAGATTAACAAATGTTACCTGAGGTCAGAATAAACTGAAGTTAACCAGTGATTGTTCTGAATGAAGGTTTGGAATACTGACTTACGTCACATGTTGTTTATTAACACCAAATGTCAAGTTGCACTGTATTTCATTCTTAAACTGCCACCATCTGAATATGTTCCGGCATATTATCAATAATCCAGATAGACTTGTTATCTTACTTTCGGGTTCTATATGTAAATTTACTTCCATAATCTGCTTTGGACACTGCTTAAAACATCGTTAAACCTACTTGATACACATAATACGGTTTTAAAAAATCGGAAATGTTTTCGCTACTGTTTGAGTTTGGGTTAGAAAGATTTGGCAATATCCAACTCAGTCGCTCATGATACGTTTCTACGAAATCTAATTATGTCCCTTTTGAAAGTTATATACATCTCGAACGTACCCTGGAATATATCGTTCAGTCCGTCCAGCCGATAAAGTAGTACATCAGTATTCTGTATTCACATCGTTAAAGAGGTCTTCTGAAATTCATTAGAGAAGGATCTATGACGCCAAAACCAACACTCTCTACGCAGATAGCTTGGAACACCGCGACCCTGTGAAGATGCGGCTTAGAATTAGTCTTCAGCAACCCATATTTGTCCTCGGAGGCGCCTAATGTGATGGAATGGTCAGACTCGCTGACTTTGTTGATCCATGTCCTTGTATTGCAAATGCGTAGATCGATGCTAACGTTGTCAATCACTGGATTATCGGGCCATCATTACTTCCTGTAGCTGTAATATTGCTGCAGAGGGCTGTGTTAAACAACAAATAAATAAATGAATAAACAAACAAACAAAACAATGAAAAACTATCACAAGCACTTTGTGAGACACCAAGAGAGGGGCATTAAGAAACGTCCACAAACAAATTATCCTTCATATGAGACTTGGGCGTAATGTCAAGAATTGCATGAATGGACTTGTACATCACAATACCGGAGTCAGCGGTGCCTGTGCGAATGTTCAGCTTGTAAAATCCCTAACGTCGGAGGCGTCCGTGCAATTTGACACATGAAAATTATCACCACTAGTTAACACATACGAAAATACAAAATACACAACTTTGTCGATACGTTTCTTGGCTTTTGGTTGAGATTTCACACGAATTATTGCCAGTGGATATTTGTGTCTTTGTGGTAATGAGATCTTACTCCGACGTCATATTCTAGGTGTTTTAATTCAAATTGCGACAAGATATATTTATGACGTATTTATGAAGTAAGTGATATCAACCATTATGACGTCATAATGTCCATACTAGAGACGGCGACTAGCCAATCAGATAGCCGGACTTTTGCGTGTTTATTGGTCAAACCCAGCCTTTAACACTGTACTTTCTTAGGCCTAAATTTACGTTAAAACACCGGAGTAGTTTCCATTCTATTGTGAATGAATGTCAGTAAAAAGAAGATTTTGTTTTTATTGCCCATTTTGATACTGCATTTTTATTTGCATTGACATTGTTTTATCAATAGTCATAACATCTGTCAGGCAACTCTGGTTGCCACAAATATGTCGTCTCTAAAAGCAATGTACGTGTTTTTAAATGACAAGCGCTGTGGTTTCCCATGTCCTTTGTTAAACGTACCAAGTATTATGAGGATATTTCATTTTTACGAAAAATATCAAATATCTGTTAGCAACGTTCAACGTTCTCAAGCTGATTCAACAAGTGTGTTGGACGGATAAGCCGTGACAACCCGACACGTCACAACAGGATACGCGCTCCAGGTGACCTCTTCGTCGTATCAGAGATCCATTACACGATGCGCACAGTATACATGGCGCATGTCGAAAAGAAGGTTGGATTGATAACAAGGGTTTGATATTGAACATTATCGATCTGAGGCTTGACGTTAATTAGACAGAGCGTGGGTGGAGATTGGGCCGATAATGCAGTGTAATGACTGGCACAGTGTAGGAATTTACTTCTTGAGAGGCTGGAAGAAGAGACTCTTTAAGACATTGCCTCAACTAGAAATGCCAACTCAGCATATCTTTCCGACGAATACTGACACCATGAGCTATACGTTGCATCCAAGATGATCATGGCACATGACGTTAGGTTTGCTTCACACTGATGCTCCAGGGTTTGGTGTCGTCATTTCGCGACTTTGAGGTACAATACAACTTGCCCTTTAAAAGAGATTTTATTTACAACTCTTGCTCAAACGTTGTATGACCAGGCCTTGTTAAAACTATCTAAACGCTATGTGATATACATGTGGAAGATATTACTAAATTTAACTCATCAATGACAAAAGGTATACCTGATGCATTTCTTTAATTTGATTTGTATTTTTGATGTTCCAGTTGGTTAGGTAAACATTTTAAGGTATTTTATATGTTATTTCTACATGTGTGACAAAAACGATGCCTGATTCAGTTCCTCATTTGACTTGCACTACTAGCTGACCGATTATTTTCAGGTGAATTTACTAGTCTTTGCATGTGTTTATGACAGGTGTCACCGGTGTGGCAGGATACGCTCAATATCATCACTATGTGATAGCGAGTCATAAACACATGCTCATCAGAATCGCACTATGGACTCCGTATGGCAGATAGTGGTCAATGGATTTGGTTTTGTGTGGGTAAGCCAAGAAGTTGGTAGTATAAATGATTTTGTATCTATATTTAAACAAAGACTTCTTGTAGATTCTGCAAAACAAAATATGTTTAGAAAAATTAATGAATCAGCACATTTATCTTATTACAAATCATTAAAGTCATTACTGGATGTTGAATACTATATTTCTAATGTACATCTAAAGGAATCTCGCCGTTATTTATGCTCATGAAATGGTCCTGTCCCTTTTATTTGCCTTCTACGTGAGAACAACACCAGGGCTTCACAAATGGCAAAATGTCAATATACCACATGGTAGAATTTAAAAGAAGAGTGCAGCACATGTTTGAACGACTTCGTTTAATGTATGCATATATTCAAAATATATTCTGCTCATACGGTGAATCATAAAATATATTTCGCCTCAACTCTGATTATGGTCTAATCACTCAAATGTGAAACCCTATACCACTTTAAAAAGGATATACGTTGTAGGATCTGTTCTCTGGAAAGTATTGTGGAGGTTATATTTTACGGTCTAGATTTGGGAATCACATTGACATTACGTGTGACATGATATGTCTGCCGTATTCGTCTTGAACTCTCGTC